TTTCGTCAAATAAATATTGACATAGAAATGAAAAACATGATGTTAAGTCTCCCCAAAGATGACGACTAATCATTGTTAATCCTACAATCAATCTGGTCAATTTCAAATAATCCTGGTTTACAAGACGTCCGGGATAAAAAAATTGAGTCTTTTAGGGTCTGCAATCCCTTGGGGAGACTCTCTGAGAGAGATGGTGCAAGACTGTCGAGAGACTGCTATCGAGTGCCTCTAGGAGAGAGACTCCGTGTGTCCCCAGGTAGGAATTAACAAGTGGCCCAAGCTTGGTCCAACGCCGGTCCAACCTTCGCTAGTCATGGACTAAGACAGGCATCCAAGGCCGGTCCAAGGCTGCTCGGAATAATAACGCTGGGCCATTCTTGGCCACCAAGACCCGGCCTGACTCGCCAGTCGTTAGCCGTGAATAACGTTTATTGATTTAATTTTTTTTTATTTAAGCATTTTATTATTATAGTACAAAGTGATACATGACATGATATAGAATTCATATGTTTAACACGAGTATATTATACTTTAGCATTAATTCTCTTCAGGAATAAGTCGATAGCCATAATTACTTAAATATTGAGTACGCTGAGGAAGATTTTAATATCAAATGGTGGAAACATTTGCTCCACTTCGAGTTTGCGAACTAATTCTAAATGTTCATCATCATTCAGTGGACATTGCCATAATAAGTGATTCCATTCCATAACAACCATATCCTTTAGAATATATATAAAGGCAAGTGCCGATATAATAAGTGATTTAAGTCTTTCTCAGGACAACCACATCTGCAGTCCTCAGTTCCAATAATACCAATTCTAGCCAGAGAGCTCACTACACGGAGAGAAATTTTTGGTAAACATTATCGTGAAATCCAGGTAAAAATTACCCGGATGGAAGGGTAATTCTGTAGCAGTGTATTTTTGAAGCAATAAATATCCTTGGTGTGGATACCTTTTAATGAACATTTCCGGATAATATTTGTTTTTATCTGAGAAAAAGTTGCCAGTACGCGCGGATAAGAATTATTACATATCTTGGTAGTTTTTAGGGGAGGATGGGGCAAAACGGCCCCCCTTCAATCGTCAATATTTTCCGATTCAATAATCCGATTGGGGTGAGTTAGAGCTCGTTTTAAAGAATGAAAAACTATCTTCAAAATGAAGTTGAAACTGGGAATTTTCACAATGTCATTCACAAGTTATTGACAATTGAAGGGGGGCCGTTTTGCCCCACCCTCCCCTACAAATATCTGGATAAAAATTACTGTTCCAGAATGGTAAAAAATACTAACCTTACCTACAGATTTCTTCCACGCAGAGGTTAATACTCCAAAACACTCGAGTGTTACCGACAGCTCAAAGTGTTTTTACCACGAGACATTCTACTGGTAGAATTTATTGTTTGGAAGGGTAAAAAGTGTCGCGCGCATCTGGTTACAGTAGACTCTCGTTATAGTCGCACTCACGGGGCTGTAGGGGCAGCCGATTCTGAGAATGGGACTGTATTTCTCTTCCCCCACCAGGCGCTCACGGTAAGCCTAAATTCCGGGAATCGGGAGCGATAAGAAAATAAATTTTACTTCAATTATTTTTCTCTTCAATTTGAACATTTTTATTAAATATAAAAATTATTTTCATTAAACACTTTCATGAAATTAACAAAATGAATTGCGTTGAACTGTTTTAGTAAATTAATGAAATGAATAGAAATATTATAACATCGCATTGTTCAATACACTCCAAAATTTATTCACTTCATTCAAATAAAAAGCAGGATTATGCACCACTGCAAAGACCCTCTCTTCGTGACAGTCAAGAGTGAACTGAATTTCTCTCTCGCAAATTCATTTTTCCTAAATTTTATTTCCCGAATTTCTTAGAAATGCAAAACAAAGCCCATTCCGAGAAAACACAGGGGCATTTAAATCCACACCTCGGAGGTGGTACGGAGTGGGGGAAGCGCTCGAGCTCGAAAAAATCGATATGAGGGGAAATGCGACTATAACGAATGCGACTATAACGAGAGTCTACTGTAGTTTTTTATGCGCACAATGGGTATAATTTAATAGAATTGGGGGAATAAAAATTATTCTATGAATTTTATAATAATTACCAGGATAACTATAATTTTTATCATTCACATGGATATTTTTTGTCTTTGTCTATATACATTTTGACAAATGTATAGACAATTTTTGGTTCCTTCGGCGAAAATTACCATACGGAAGGGTATCTTTTTTTTCGAAAATCGGTTATACATCGAGAATTCAATAAAACTTTCTCCCCGCCCCCCTATTTTTTTAGTAAAGTTCACTATCTCCTTTATTTTCGGAGATATTTTTGAAGAACTCACTTACTCAATTGCTTTGGTTCTGGATTCTCAAAGTTCAATCCCTCCCCCTTCCCCCAAATTTTCAGTAAAAATTCGTTATCTCTCTTAGTTTTGAAGATATTTTAGAAAAGCTCACTGTAGCGAAGCTACTTATATTTATTTCGCATTATTTCAATCTATTGTATTCGAGCTCGCCTTAGCAGCCGAATACCTTATTGAGTCACCTCGCGACAATTCGTAATAATTCGGACATACTCGATCGGAGGATTACTATCGTTATCGCAGGAGCATACTCTCGTTCCAGCTCTCATAGTGTAAACCGAAGTTTCGTTTGCTCTGAATAAATTCTAATACGATATATAATAATTCCGAGTATTATACCCTACAAAACCCGTCCATCCTTACCGAATATCCCTCACTCACCGACTCAATTATTTTGTTTGTGATTTCTCAATTCACCCCCTCCCCCCTGTCATCACCGAAAATTTCAGTAAAAAATTGTTATCTTCCTTCGTTTCGGAGATATCTTTAAAAATCTCACTCAATTTTCTTGGTCTTGGATTCTGAAAGCACAACTCCTTCCCCTTCCCCCAGATTTTCAATAAAAATTCGCTATCTCCTTTAGTTTCGGATATATCTTTGAAAAACTCACCCATTTAACTTCTTTGGTTGTGAATTCTCAATGCCCCCCTCTCCACCGCATTGCAAAATCTCCCCTCCACAAATTTTCGATTTCGATTTTCAGGAATCTAGTAACTTGAAAATCAACATTTATAATTTATCATTACTTATGTACTTACATAATTGATAAGTTTCATTGATGATTACTCGAGAAATGGAATAATTCAACATTTTAATCAATCGTTGAACAATAAACAATTGAAGAATAATCAGTAGCACTGATTAACGAATGAATTGGATAACTTCGGATTTGAGTTGATGATTGAATCAGTAACAGAATATTGTCTGATAATCATTATTCATTTCTCAAGTAAAGATGTATTATTAAAACTTAATTACCCATTATCCAAAGAAGTGAAAAGGTCATATTTCATTTGAGCTGCCAAGCAAGTAATGTGAAATGGCTGAATATCAAATACGGATCGAAAGAATAATGGTCAATTTTATATTTTCATTAACAATTACTGAAATAATTTGAAATTTTTAATGATGATTACTCAATGACAACGTAATGGGTATTCACAGCGATTCAGTTATTGATTACTTATGTAATCTGTAATAAGTGCGTTGAGTTATTCATTTTTCAATTGATAGAAAAATTTCATATTCAAATACTTGAGTGACTGAGTAGTAGAGTAATGGTAATTTCAAATTACGATTTTCCCGAACTCTGATTATGTGGGTGAAATTCTTCATCTTCAACCGCTATTATTTCTACATCTTTATAAGGCTCTTGAAAATCCAGGGATATGTCTTCAATCATTTCAACACTATTGTATTCCTTGATGGAACGGAGTAATATCGTTTGGAAAGTATCCACTAATTCGCGTTCCGCATCGTTCACGAGCGTTTCAGCAAGATTTAAAACTTCAAATGTTGCCATGAGAAGTCTGATGACGTTGATTGGATTAATTTTCATCATAAAACGGTCACGAAACACAACACTCACTGCTAGACAGTTTTTCTCGACAGATTTTGGTAGACTGATCGTGAATTGCACGAAACATGAAAGCCAAAAATACACATTTATCTCCATGATATTATTTTCAAACAATAGGAGTGATATTCGAATCGATATTTTTATTCTGCTGCATACGATCCCTTTGCGGTCCTGCATATAAACATAAACATCGATGTAGTAAGATCACCTCAATTGTATTTTATTTTTAATTTCTTATACTCTACACAATTTTCGACTTTTCCATTACCACTGGCTAATTTATCCATTCCCAGTACTACCCCTTCGCACTGCTTCATCAGACGGCTCAAGAATACGTATTTCGTTCTCGAAAATGCATACGATGGATTTTTCTTTTACCTCCCTATTCAGATTCCAGAAACAAAAAAATTAACGAAGAAGGTACTTCGTATTTTTCTCATTCTGTTGCAAATAGTGATTTTATAAAATTTTAGATTATATATTTTTTCCATTTGAAAAATGATTTTCTAGGAGAGTAAGTTGGCTTCCACATTCAACACCCCAGGGGATGAATTCCATTGTAAATCTCATCAGTTGTCACGTGCTTTGTGTTACACAACGAAAAATTTCAAAATTGAAAAATTTCAAGAAATCAATTTTTTTCGCTGTTAAATTGCAATCTGTAGAAAAATGCCAAAAAAGGTATTCTGTCTTTTTGAATTGGAATTGGTTTCATGAAATTCCGAGCAATATTTTTTTTTTAATTGGAAAAATAATTTTCCGCGAGGGTAGTTCACCTCCTAAATTTCAACCCTTGGTGATGATTTTAATTCACCTATTCATCATTCATCATGAGCTCCTCTTACATCACAAAATATTTGTCTGAGTATTCTCTCTATATATACGTAAACGACAAAATACCCTAAGAAGTGGCCAACTTCAGAGCACAGTTTTGCCCCCAAACCAGCGTGCTAAGTTCTGCAGAAAAATCCCTCGGGCAAGCATTCGAGATTTTTTAACCTGCAAAATTTGACACCCTCATTTGTTTGCAACGAAGCTATCGGGAAATACTCGATAATTTTGAAGCTCTCGGGGTACTACTACTGAGAATACATTTTTTCGCCCAGGGGGACGGAAATGACACATTTTCTGAAAATCTGCCTTTCGCCTACGCCGTGACGAAAAATAACATTCTCACCACAGGAGGTAAAATAAAGGACCCTTACCCACGTGCCTACCACCCTCGCCTTCGGCTCGGGTGGTAATTCTGCACGTGGGCACGACTCCTTTATTTTCTCTCCCTTAGTGGGAAATTACTAATTTTCGTAAATATAACAATGAGAAAAAATATTAAGAAGTTGAAATTTTTTTTGCTCCGACTCAACGATGAATACTTCATTAGGATTTGAAGGATTTGGCGGAGGATTTGGTCGAGGACTTGGCAGGGGACTTGGTGAGGGACTTGATGATGGGGAAAGGACAGAAGAGTGAGAGTGAGCGAACAGGTCTCATCATCTTCGCCGAGGTACATCAGTTCATTCTCGACGATGAATCCACCGTCGGAATTCATCCGTCTGTCTTCACGTTGGAGATCTCGTAATGTAAGTAACTTGCAGAAAGTTAAATACCCGGTTGGGGACGGAAACATAATAACTTCATTGATTTTATGAGATTGATTCTCATGTTGCACTCATAAAAAGTCAGTACCTGACCTTGGGGGAGTCAACTGCTCACCAATTCTGCGCCAAATCAATTTATTCAGATTAGCGTACCTCGATAATCCGTTTCGCGAAAGGTGAGGGGGTGAGCCTTTACATGGAGTTTGGTTTTCCTGTGGATAACTCTTTTTCAATAAATAATTCTCAAAGTTTGAAAATTTGAATTCCACGTCGAAGTGCAACTTCAGATTGCTCCACTATGATGCTTTTCCGGGTGTTGAATAGCATTTTTATTGATTTTTGCTAGAAATATTGAAGGAAATTAATTTTGAAAACTCATCATCAAACGATAGGCCTCAATTCCATCTTTTCTCCAGTATTTTTTTTTATCTAATTGGTGTAGAGGTTATTGTTTTATTGAAATTAGAAAAGTGCGGTTGTTTGATGATTGGCTTGGAATTGGTGGAAAAATTGAGGGATGGGCGAGATTAATACGGATTTTCGGGAAGAGGGCGAGCGGGTCTAAATAAATCACTGCACGTGGTTTCCGAAAAAAACACAATATAATCTTTGAATGTTTGTCACAATAGTCAGTAATTCATAAAAGAATGCAATTAATAATTGAGTTGCGCACTGATAATTAATATTGAGCCGAACTATAAATGATATAAAACAATTGAGCAGACAAAAGGTTATGAAACCAAGCGGTAAAATAAAAACGTGATGAACCGTAGCAGGATCAATACGCAAGTGATCATGAGGTGAGAAAAACATCGTTGCGTGGAGTCGGTCGGTAACAGCGATGGGCCCGTCAGGTGCTGCCACCGAGCCATTGTCACCCTGAGTTGTACTGGGCTGAGTGGCCCGCGAATCTCGTCGGATTTCAAACAGCGGTTTTAAGCCATTTCCGCAACTTTTAGTATATTGTGCATCAAGAGCAGAAAATCATGTTTCCGTCCCGGCGGGTCCAAAGTTACATTTCCCTCCCGCTTCGCGGGAACTCTGACTTTGCGCCTACGCCGAGACGGAAAATCGCGTTCTAACCACGGGAAGTGCTTACCAACCTCGCCTTCGACTCGGCTGGTAATTGCACTGGCGGCTGAGGATCCTTTATTTTCCCTCCCTAGATTAGAAATATACTATTTTAACATGCCTGCAAAGGAAAGTTTGTATTTTGCTGCCTGATGAGCGGGAGGAAAGTGAGTACTTTCCACCCGAGGGCGGGGAGTACTCACTTTCCTCCCGCTCATCAGGGAGCAAAGTACGAACTTTCCGTGCAGGTGTGTGAAAATAGTATAATAGTATAATAGGGTCCTGTATTTTACCTCCCGTGGTGAGAACGTTATTTTTCGTCACGGCATAGGCGGAAAGGCAGATTTTGGGGACGACGGAACACTAGTCATCAAATAACAATTCAAGTATTTCTGTTTATAACCGAAGATATCAACTGCTGAAGTTGAGCACAAATATTCTATTATGTCCCAATCGCCCTTAGGATATTCCAATTTTCAAACTCTATAAATGAAGATACAATTTTTTTTTTGAAGAATTGACTGCGAGATTTCATAATATCTTCATAATTACATATCTCAACTTGAAGTTTCAGACAAATTTTTGACGAATTTCCTCTAAGACCCCTCAAAGTTTTACTTCTCTTGTTTTATGGAACCACTATAAAGAAAAAAAATTGAAACCAATCCTATTTCTATTCCCGTGCAACTGACCCAGTAGATCAACTAAATCTCAAAAAAAAAAATATTTTTCATACCCCAGCATAATTTGAATACTGAAAAGATTTCAAGAACTTTCTGAATATTTCCATGTTCTTCCAGTTCAAATCGATAAGAGGCAATAAAATATTCTAAATTCGTTGTAGAATACACTGATAGAATGATTCATTTATTCTAAACGAGATTCGTTAACTATTAACGAATGGTAGAGTTGAATATGACCAAATGAATATTCGTTAATAGTTAACGAATGGTTCACTTGAATGGCGAAAGTCAAGTCAAACAAGGCTCCTCAAATATACATTCGTTAACTATTAACGAATGAACATTTGGTGAGACCGAATAGACCCTAACTTCCAACCAAAATCCATTCTTTAACAATAACTAATCCGTTATATCAGTGCACTCACCGATCAATGTGCTTGTATCCAGCATGAGGGTACAGACATCTCCCCGAACTCTATTCTCTCGAAATGTTTTTCACCAGCGTATTTTCTGGTAGTCCGGCAACGTTAAGTACAAGGATTCGACGCGAATGTGAAGTCTGGTCTCGCATACGAAAAGAGATATTGCATGAATGACAAAGGCAAAACACTCGCTTTGCATCTCTTGTTGCTGAAATACATCGTGCATATGTAGTACATAGGAATTACCCTGTCAAATCCCAATGTTGGATAGCCGACAGATGAGAAGCGACCGATGCATCGTTTTTTCTCCGAATGAAAATATCGAAAACCTCCACTCCTTTAATTGTCAGAGCAGTGGATACTATTATTTTTCCTCCATTCAATACCTGGCGTTACTATGAAATGTATAGACAGAGGCAGGTAACCTACAGGTGATTCTAATGTGCTTGTTAGCAGTGAGGGAATGACAGGATATTAAAATAGATACTCGGAAGAGCATGCGAAGGGAACGGGTGGATTTCTAGCAGAAACAGCAGACTGTAAATATCCGGTTGATGCCCTATAGCGGAGGGTCTCTGCGCGACGGTCTACAATGAGTACACTGTGAAGGAATAGACCTGCGCACAGGACTTTGTAATTAATATGACTGAGATACTGGACGAGGGAGAATATATAAGCCTCTGAGTTTTCAATAGAGAACTTGGACCCACTTGAAATGGATGAGCTCTTCTCTTAAGGAAAATATGAGTCTTACTTCTGAGATGAATGGAGAGATGTCTTGATCCCCATTGTTCTTTATTTTATTGCTCGAAGGAGATGGAAAAAATGTGGAGAAAAATGGAGCAATTGGATGCACACCATTATAAATATTGCTGAACTCAGACATAAAAGGAGAGAATTGGAACTACAAAAATTCGAGAAAAAAGGAATTATTATGGAAAAAAATATTGAAAATTAAAAAACCCCGACGAAAAAGTTATCCTTGAGTAGTTTAAAAAGAAGAAAATAAAAACTCAAAATTTTTATTAGACAAATTTTAGAGAAACTGAAATTTCTTTTGTGTCACAGAAGAAACAGCAGACAAAAATCGGGGGGTACATACAGTTACGAAAATATTGGTGTCCCAACATTACATTTTTCATCGGGGGTTTTTAATTTTAATTGTTTCTGCTTTCGGTTTTATTATTTTTCAGTTTTTAAATAAGTCAATGGAAAACTTTCCTGTCGGAAATTTTTAATTTCCAATTTTTCAGTTTTTTTTACCCTTTCCTGCATAATTCAATCCTTTGATTGCTCTAAAGGTGATTATTGAGCGTAATTGAAGGATTGAATTATATACGGATGTGTAAAAAAAATGAAAACTAGAAAATTGAAAATGGAAAATTCCCGCTGAAACAGTTGTGAATTGACTTACTTAAAAACTGAAAAACCAAAAAAATAGAACAATTGAAAAATTGAAGATTCAAAGCCCCCACGAAAAACTTATCCTTGAGTAGTCTAAAAAGATCAAGATGAAAACTCTAAATTTCAATTGGAGGAATTTTAGAAAAACTAACATTTCTTTTGTAATAAACGAAACGGCAGAAAAAAATCAGGGGAACACATTGATTCACGAAAATGCTAGTGTCCCTCCGACTTTTTTCTGCTGTTTAGTCTAATACAAATGAAATTTCAGTTCCTCTGAAATTCGTCCAATTAAAATTTTGAGGTTTTATTTACTTTTATTGAGACTACTCAAGGATAACTTTTCGTCGAGGGTTTCAATTTTCAAATTTCGACGTTTTCAATTTTTCAGTTTTTCTGTTTTTTGGTTGGTCAATTTCCGAAGAGTATATTGTGCACCAAGAGCAGAAAGTCATGTTTCCCACGCCCCAGGTGCAGATGCTATTTTTTAACTCGCATGCAAAGAAAAGTTTGTATTTTACTTTCTGATGAGCGGAAGCAAAGTGAATACATTTCGCTCAAGGGTGGAAATTTGTTCGCAAGGGAGCAACTTTCTATCCTAAAGCGGAAAGCACTCACTTTCCTCTCGTTGATCAGAGAGCAAACCACGAACTCTCCGTGCAGGTGTGAGAAAAGTATTTTTCGCACAACCAGTGTTCCTGAATAGGAAATTTCTGCTTTCGTGCATTCTGCAGACAAAGCTCTCAAGAATCATTGGGGATATGAACCGATCAGAATTCCAATTTTCTGCGTTACTTCCTATAACATTGTTCCACAATTAATCGCCGAAACAGTAAATAGATAAATATACACATTTACTTCTCACTAATTTTCTTGAACCCCTTATCTCGATTGAATAATTTCCCTCAGAAGTTGAATGATTCTTATCCCCTCACTACTTACTGACTATTCAGCCTTCCATCAAGGATTTTTCGCGAAAACGTGACGCCCAGAACCTTGCACATACCCCATAATAAACTTCGGCCGTTTAGATTGCTCGACGCATTACTCTGCAAGCCAAAATATCAAGATCTCCAAAAGGAAAGGGCGAGTCCTTGAGAGCCATTCAATAATTCGGCGGCCCAACATTCACATCCCCCCAAGCTCCAGATAAGGCAGAACGAACGCAATATACTTGGCATCGTATTGCAAGATCAAATCCATAGATTACCTATTAGTCCACACGCAATACCCCCTTCCCGTGTGCACTTCTAGTGCGGTAAGGTTTTGAGGTGTTTTCTTATGTTTTCGGGTATGAGAAATCCGAATCCGGTGGTATTTTTTATGTAAGTGCGTGCAATTAATAGTTATAAACAAATTAAGTGGTTTTTTTGATGATTTTTTTGTGTGGGAAACATTGGCA